CCGTCCAATTACGGAAAGAGTGTCTGTTTTATTTGCGTGTAAAAAGCTTAGGTTTACCAATTGTGCTAACTATAGATTGATCTCGGGATCGAATTCTACCTTGAAGTTCTTTAATCTTTGTCGAACATTTTAGCCAAATGATAGTACTTTATGAATTATATATTGAAGTCTGCAATTGAGAATGAGGAATTGAGTGGAGTTAGATAACATTTTGGAGCACTGTTAACTTTCGTCACTTTTCTTTGCTAAGAGTTATTGGCTTAAGAGAAAGTGTTCACATTTATCAATTGACCAACAACTTTGGCTTATTCGAGGGAGGGAAAGGGGACCCTTTCATTATCGTGTGTGAATTCTGAGTATTTATCGTTGATGTGAACACTTGATTTGATGCGGGAATAAAATTAATTTGCTAATGATAAAAAATGAAATTGTAAAACATTGATTAACTATCATAAGAGTTTGTGTCCACTGCCAATCCTTCGTGAAAAGAAGAATATTTTTTGTTACTCTACAAGCCACATTTGGTATCGCATACTTTGCATATTGTGGCGTTATTTTCAAACACATTTAGAGGAGCAAGAGCAACATGGGACAATATGGTTTTGTCTCCATTGCTTGCATCCTAGCCTTTTTTTATTTTGCAAACACCGTGTACACACAATATCTTTCCCCAGTAGTGGACACAGACAACATATAACCTTTATAAATTTGATGTATGTTGGAGACAACGAATTAGGGAAGCATCATTTGTTTGGAACATATTGAGTCCAGTAGTTATAGCATGTAGATGAGGAACTAGATCTAGGCCTCTATGGTTGGTTTTATTGTTGTTAATTCATTTACTATTAGAAAAATAAGGAAATGTTTTGTTCCAGTAGTTTTACTGTCTTGGTGCAAAACTAACAAAAAGAAGGGAGAAATAAAAGGGTAGGAAATATAATCAAGTATGAAGAAGGTGTATCACGTAAAGGTGAATCATTTAACAAATTATAAAAAATTAAAACAAATAAATATAATCTAATATCTACTGAAAGAGGATAAAGTCATAAAAGTTTTTTATGTTTAGTCTATTTCTTTTATATGTTCGTCATCACGAGGATATTCCTTTTTACTGTAGGGCTAGTCCTAAATTTGAAGCAAAATTTTTAAGTTATTTAATTTACTTTTATTAAGAAATAATTACGATTAATAATAAAATGTAATGAAAGTATTTTTTTAATATTATAATATAATATGTATATGCCTTTTTACCCTCACGTATTATAAGAATCATTAGGACTTCCATGTAGTCATATGTATCATAAATTTAGTGCAATATGATCTATTTATAAAAATAAATAAATAAATACAACCCCTATAAAATTAACGCGTCAATACGTAGTTTCTCGACCTTCATGCATTATATGGGTTAACTTATGTACAGTCGCGTTATTATGAATCCTATGATGTGAACGTATTCTTAAAAAAAAAAAAAAAATTCTTTTCCGTATACTTTAAGAGAAAATGAACTATATAATTTTACATTGTTATCCAATAAAAAGTTATCATATTAATAAATTTGTTAATTTTTATAATAATTATGTTTTTTTAAAATATTATAATAATTATTTTATAATCATATTAAATTACCAAGAGTAATCTTTTATTGATTGACGGCGTAAGTTTTTTTTAATACTTATAGTGCATAATTATTAAATTCATTTTAATATTTTTTTAAAAAAATTAATCGCCCTCTCTTTATTTCACACAACACTATAACATTAATGTATAGTTAACACTACTTTGTGATGCACATATGCGGTATAAATTATTCAGGCTTATGAATGATCATGCTATCTCAATTTTTATGCCATGATCATGGAAGTAGATACTTTTAATCGTAAAAGCACTTGAAAAGTTATCTTATTTAAAAATACTTGCATCACATAGAAATTAAAAAAGAACGGTTATTGATAAGCCTATATAATTTATTCTGCAGTATCATAGAGTGGTGTTATCCATGATACA